ATGCGGCAGTTGATGTGGTTTTATAGTCCACTTTGAATCGTCGAGCGATATCTATGTCTGGGATGACAAAGGCTGCGGCGGAGGTGTTAAGTGGGGCGGACCCATCGGTCTACACGTGCAGAGAGTCACTGTACGTTGTATAATTGTGATACAGGGTCAGTTGTCTGAGGCCAACAGATGAAAAGCGACTTTTTTGTAACTCCAGGTATCGTAAAAGAAGCAGGTGGTTTAGGAAGGCCCCAGGGAGGCACTGCAGGGGCATATGGCGGGGAAAACCTTGATGGTATAATATTCTCATGCCGCGATATTACTCTTGAGAAACTGCAATCTGGGTGAGTGGCGGGTAGTGCTGACAGTAGGTGCTGTCTCTGTCTGCTCAGCAATCGGAGGTGAACTCTAAGTGGCTCGCTGAGCATGTATACAGTGATAGGACAAGCCCGAGCCACTGCGATTGTCCCATTTGCTGAAGTACAGCGCAGTAGACCCAATCATCTTCTTAAGCATTGAGCTTGAACAATCTCTAGCGTCTTCACACAACTAGGTCTTATATTCGAAAGCACCGGCATGCTGTATCGAATGTATCTCACAAATAGAGCATTGTACAATTGAAGTAGCGATGATTCTGATGGGCCCCATCTTGCTCCTGCTACGTGGCAAAGAACGAGAGCAAAGCTCTTTAATTTAAATTTAAGTACTGCGACATGCCTCATCCACGATAGATCTCCGTGTACGACAACCCCAAGCAACTTGTGGTGCGTTACAGCAGGTATCGCTGTCCCATTAATGATTATAGGGTATTTCGACATATTCTTGCGCGAGAACGCAAGCACTGCGCATTTGTCGATTGAAAAAGTGAGCCCCTGACGTCGTAGATATTTGTATGTGATCTTCACTGCACGCTGTAGTCGAGCTCAGTATTGCGGACGAGAAGTTCCGGATGCCCATAAGAATATTTCATCAACGTATGCACTGATCTTCACCGTGCTGTGAAGTTCTGCTGCTAGGCTGATCATTGTGACTTTGAATAGGATGGGGCTGAGAACTCCTCCTTCGGGAACACCACGATGAACCTTATATCGATCAGTGTCTCCGTTATTTGTCGTCATGTAAATGGTGAGTTCCCTAACGTAGCTAAAAGTCCAAGCATACAGTCGTCCACCGATGTCGAAATCCTCCAGTGCGTCAAGTATCGCATAATGAAGCACATTATCGTAGGCACCCTTAATGTCTAGGAAGACCGCCACCACTAGTCTGTGTCGGCTTCTTTCCTCTCCAACGCTGGTGATCAAGTTGACCACACCATCAATGGCAGATCGGCCTCTTCTAAAGCCGTTCATAAATGCAGGAAAGGAGTTGTTGCTCTCTAGAAGCTACTCTAATCTTGACAGTACCATTCTTTCCATTACTTTCCCGACGCAGCTGGCTAAGGCGATTTGTCTGTAAAAGAAAAGTGCATAAGGACACATCCGCGGCTTGAGCAATGCAATAATGCGACTGCATTTCCAATTAGCTGGGTCTTCTCTTGACTCCCATGAGGTGTTATAATGAGATAACAGGATACGTCGTGCTTCTGTATCAAGATGGTTAAGTGCAGCATACGCGATTCCGTCAGGTCCTGGTGCCGATGATCGACGGGAGGCAGAAATCGCAGCGTCAAGCTCATGCATTGTAAAATGTACATCAAGGCGCTCGTCAGACGATGGAGGCGCAATGGTGGTAAGAGGCTCATTAGTGGCAAGACCATCAGTGGTGTCCACAATGAGGCTACAGTAGTCACTGGCTATCTCAACTTCTGTCTGCCCCTGATGTAGAGCAACAGCTTCAAATGGTTGACGTTGGAGAGTTGTCTGCAAACTTCGTACCATCCACCAGATCTTAGACAGAGGTTGCCTGGGGTCCTGGGGTCCAGAGAGCCACAGAATTTTCTCCAACATTGCCTGTCAATCTTGTCAAGATGCCGAAGAAGATGTTGTTGAGCTCGACGACAGGCGGAAAGGTCAGAAGGCGACTTCATTCGTCTGTATCGGCGCTCGGCATGGCGACGGATTGCATGAAGGACCTCGTACTGGGAGTCCACTGCTGATCTCTGCATCGGTAGGTTAACCTGTTTGGTTGTGTCACGCAGTGAAGAAGCAATGATGTTCTCTACCTCGGATGGATCAGTCGTGCGCTCACAGCCAGACTTGACAGCTGCCTTGAACAGTGTCCAGTCGGTTTGACGGATGTAGCGTGTGTGCGTGCGGGGAAACCACCTAAACTGAACATAGGTTGGAAGGTGGTCACTGCCGCGGGTGTCAAAATCTGTGCACCAACATGCGGAAGACAGAAGGCATCTGGAAACGAAACAGACGTCGAGGCAGCTGCTGTAGAAGGTGCCACGAACAAATATAGGTGATCCGTCGTTGAGTACGCTTAGTCTATAGTTGCTTTAAAAATTGGCCAAATTCCTTCTGCGATATTTCATTGTAATGCTACCCCAGAGAAGATGATGTGCATTAAAATCGCCAATCACAATGAGTGGCCTTTGTGCTGCTTGAAGTATTGTCCCCAGGTGGATGCAGTTCATCTGTGCGCTTCGGTGTATGTATCCTCCTATTACTGAGAATGTCCGCTTTTTATGTGTTATATTCAAGCTCACGTATTCATTGCTGGTATGCGACGCCACTTCATGTCTCAAGAACGTCGAATCACGGCGTATACAAACGAGAACTTTGCTCGTGCGTTGATCACCGTGGGACCAAATCTGGATATATCCAGATATACGAAAAGTTGAAACCATATTTGGTTTACATATAACGATAACAGAAAATTGATATTTAAAAACCCATTGTCGGAAGTCTGACAGACGGCCACGTAGGCCACGAGCATTCTATTGCATAACAAGTGACTGGCGCATGCGTTCTTCGAACATCAATGCCATGTTCACTTACTGAAGAACCAGTAGAAGAGGCTCCAAAACCTCAAGTACCTGCACAGCCGCCTTAGCAGCGGGAGTGTTTAGGCTGATGAGGATCTTACGCATCGATCCCATCAAATTTTTAAGCATAGCATTGACATCTGCGTTGTCTATCTTCTTGTTTTCTTCATTGGGGGCAGGGGCACTATGTGATGATGGCGATATCGTAGCTCTTGACGGTAGTGAAGGCCACTGAAGTTTGCGACGTGGTGAGAGCCAATAACTGGGTACATTGTACTTGCGTGAAGTGTATTGGCATTTGAGCATCTGTATCCTCCTTTTTGGCCGACAAGAGTAGGCTAGGAGGTTGTGAGGGCACAGTTTTTTGTGTCAAAGTTGATACGCTTTGAGCACTGCGGCTTCGCTTGCGTCGTTGTCGCGAACGATGTTTACGGCGCCGTAAAGCACCTGCACTTCTTTATTGGTGGAGTGGTCTCGAACAATCTTCTTCAGGATACTAATTTCATTCCTCATTTTAGGACATTCTGTGATGTTGCGTCGTGGGCGCCTGAGCAGTTTGGGCATTTGGCCACAGCATTGCAGTTATCACCAACATGAAGGCCACCGCAATGCTTGCAGGTTACACCACCCTTGCAAACTGCACTAATGTGCCCAAATTTCATGCATTAATGACATCGCAGAGGTTTTGGTACGTAAGGACGTACCGAGTGCCTCACGTACCCAAGTTTTACATGTGTGGGTAACGTGTTCGACTGAAACAATACTTTAACACATCACGTGCGTCTAAAGCGGTGGAAATCAAGCACGGGAGCCGACGATGACAGCAGTTTCTCGAGACCTGAGTCTGTTATCTCCTCATCCACCTCGTATTTAACTCCTGTTGTCGTTTCTTCGTCGTACGCGGACAATGCGCAAACCAGAATGTTTCCTAATTGAACAATCGCTTTCAGCTTGTCCACTGAGGCCTTCGTAGGGACGTCTATGGACAGTATGTTCTTTCAAGTATTTATGCGTATTTCTACGACTTTCCCTGGAGCGATGAGCTCAAAGTACTCCGACAGGTTCTGCCTATTTAGAGAGTTCAAGATGCCTGTCTTCGATGTCAGCACATACGAAATGGTGTACGACCGCATGCTACTCGCCTTGGTCTGTGCTTGCCGGCCAGTCGGCGATGTCCGGCTGATTTTTCTCTTCAGGCGTTGGCTTGGTACGACGACGTAGTCGCTGCCCGAAGCCTTATCTTCAACGGAGGAGTCACCAGAGTTGTCAACGTTGACCACGCTTGGGCCGGGGTGAGAACTTGCGTCAGACGCTTATGATGTGGTCAGCCCGGTCCCGGTTGCTGGATGTGGTTTTGATCTCCCCTTCTAAGGGGGAATGTCTTTCTGAGGTGTGTCGATTATTGATAAATCTTGGCAAAGGAATCAGAAAACTCACAGAGCTCGAAGCAGAGGCTGTTCTCTGTGAAAACTCTTCTATAGGCGAAACGCTTTATGTCTGATTTATGGGTCTCATCGTCTGCGATGTCCGTCACGAGGATATGTGTGAGTGGGAGAAAAAAAACGTTTATTTTTAGACTAATATCAATAGTATTTGTGATAGAGCAATATAAACCACTTGAAAGCGCGCTTTTTATACTTGTCACCGACTTACTTCAACTTACGCATCATGGAGATAAGGACGGGGCATTCCTCTGTGCGCAGTCATGGCGTATAAAAAACTGCTGCTTTAGTCAAAACTTACGTGTGTATGTGAATAAAAAGGCTTACAATAGACGAACAGCAATTCCAGTTATGACGAGACAACACACACAGTCTTCATGCTAGTCGGCGACTTCCACGTAGAAATAATAGACCTTAGGACCTATCGTAGACTTAGACTCCTCATGTCACTTTATTTCACTCAATATACATTATATGGGGCAACATAGGGTTACTCAGACATGCGATACGCAGAGCTTTGCCCCTCGTTATGGTTAAATCAGTGCAGATGTGGGACCAGTTTTTCTGTTTTGCTTACTTTCGGTTTCAAATTTAATATATTTTATCTTGTGTGGTGGTTGTGCTTTGTGCTTCAATGGCAGGTCACACGCGGTCATGGGGCGAAGCGTATCCGGAGCTGCTCACCACGTGCTATGAAGGTGGCGTGCCAAATGGTCGACTGGGTCCAATAGACCCAACACGTAACCAGACATACGCTTTCCTGGCCCACTTCTTCGCGGAAGTGGCACGTGTCTTTCCTGAACAGTACCTGCACTTGGGGGGAGACGAAGTCGATTTTCTGTGTTGGTGAGCAAACCATTATTATGAGATTGCACTCTGATTTTGCTCAAGTACTGTAATTCATTTGTGATACGGGAACTACTTCGTAGAAGTGTCAGTGTCAATGTGAGGTTCTAACTAAATAGAATGGCACCTGGACACGAAAAAGTGTTTGTATCATTCACATAAACAAAACACCAATATAGTACCCAGTAAGCTTTTGACCATCTTTGATCATGCTGAAGAAAGTCACGTACGTATATGTGAAGTACCTCTACAGGCGTTATATTTCCCAAAACAAGTCCATTTTACTTATACGATGCTGTACAGCAATACAGCAGTATTACTAAAACAAGTGAAAAGAGTGGCATGACATTCATCATTCACCGCCGAAAAAAATCCCGCTGGTGTGCCATTCAGTGAAGGTGAGGCGAAGACAAGCTTGACTACTTGTGGTTCTTCAGATGGATACTGTTTTCCCTTAGGTTAAAAAGTACTGTTCTGGAGATTTCTTCATGTGTTACTAAAAAAGCATGCTATGCAACAATAGATAAACCCAGTCTTTATCACACTGAGAAATATAGGCGGAAGTATGAGTCAAACTGGTTATTTTCTGAATTGGTGACAATTTTTGGGCCATATTCACGCTTCGTTTGCTTCCAAAAAACTTTGTTATTTTAATATATTGCAACCTGTGAAACAGAAAATGTGAATAAAATACCGGAATTTTGTTTTTGTTTTTCGTATTAGTAGACGTGCGGAGCATAGCAACTTTTCGCCAAGGCGAAAAACAAAGACTGATAAAAAATGAACAAACTATCATAGTCATATTTCATCATCATCACATCATCATCAGCCTGACTACGTCCACTGCAGGACAAAAGCCTCTCCCATGTTACGCCAGTTAACCCGGTCCTGTGCTTGCTGCTGCCAATTTATACCCGCAAACTTCTTAATCTCATCTGCCCACCTAACCTTCTGTCTTTCCCTAACCCGCTTCCCTTCTCTGGGAATTCAGTTAGTTACCCTTAATGACCAGCACTTATCCTGTCTACGCGCTACATGCCCGGCCCATGTCCATTTCTTCTTCTTTATTTCGACTATGATATCCTTAACCCCCGTTTGTCCCCTAATTCACTCTGCTCTCTTCTTGTCTCTTATGTTGCACCTACCAATTTTTTCCATTGCTCGCTGCGTCGTCCTCAATTTAAGCTGAACCCTCTTTGTAAGTCTCCAGGTTTCTGCTCCGTAGCTAAGTACCGGCAAGATACAGCTGTTATATACCTTCCTCTTGAGGGATAGTGGCAATCTACCTGTCATAATTTGAGAGTGCTTGCCGAATGTGCTCCACCACATTCTTATTCTTCTAGTTACTTAAACCCCGTGGTTCGGCTCTGCGGTTATTACCTGCCCTAAGGAGACATAGTCATATATCATACGCACCTTGAAAAGAAAGAAAAAATTGTGTCTTATTAGTTGCGCAAACCACTATTAAGATATACTTTATTTAGTGCGACACAGTTTCACTTGGGTGTCCAAAGCTTGAACGACCTTCTAGGCATAAGTCGTAGCGACATGACCAAGAAACCACTTGACATATATAGACAACACACACCTGTTTTCAGAAGTATGAAGCCTCAATAACGACTTAAGCACATTCAATAACGGCAGGTACATTCACATGTACCTCCCAAATTTTTGTCAGGAAGATCATAGACGGTCAAACTTGATTGGTTGGTTAAGACCGGCAGTGCAAAGATGCAGTGTTCAATGGAAGCTCATCGGTGTACCTTGCAAACGTGGTACGCAACCAGCAGACACGCAAGAGGTGTCCGCGTGTGCTGCATGAAACGCGCATCAGCATTTCTGGGGCAGACAGACCGCATATACACGGACAAAGGGTATAAAAAGCCATCGTGTGTTCACACAGAGCTCTCTCTCCAGCTTTTTGTTACGGCTGCTCGTGCCGGTTGGGTCTCGCGTAAAGGCGCGTCTCGACGGCTTGTTCATTGAACAGCCGTACAAATCTAAATTATTTGTGTGCTCTTTTTGTGAGCAAGAAAATTTGAAAGAGTTCTTCCCCAGCACATGGGTGAATGCCTTTGGCTGTAAGTGTAAGTGGTTCTTGAAAGAGAGAAAAGAAGATAAACGTGAGCCCCATAACTGTCTGCATCATAGTGAGACACCTCAACAGTGGCACTAGGGATTGGGGTTTGAAGAAATTGAAAGGGATAGGGGGATTTCAGGGATAGAGATAGAGATAGGGCGGGGAGAGAGATACCCACATACAAAAATAAGGAGAAGACAGGAAAGATGAACAAGGTCTCAAGAGTCTGTTTCACAATTGTGACGTGAGCTTGAGGACTAATTGAGCGCAATTGAAAATTTTACGTCCAGCGTCTCTGTGGGACGCGCCCCGTATCTCAGACCAATGCCTACTCTAGCAAGATGCTTGAGGAATGGCTCGCACTCCCAGCGGAGTTGTCCTGCCTTCAGTTTCAAACAAGCGCCCTGCGGTGGCGTTTGCGACCAACACCATCATCACGGCGGCGGGCGGTACCAGCTAAGGGTTTTTATCTGTGGCTCATAGGGGCACGTCAGTCGACAGTTGTTTGAGACCTGCAACGGTACACCACTATTTCGGAGGCTATGCAAAGTGTTGCGTTGTTGCACCGTTCGCCACAGCTAACGCTAGCGACCGAGAACATTCTAAAATGAAGGAGGAAAAGGATGTGGCTGCTGATTTTGGTCTCATGCGGCAAACATCTTAATAGAGAAGGCGTTGCTCAGACAGACGCAACTATACTCGGTAACATTTTTCTGTGGCACCACAGCCTAGGCTACGAAGCCCAAGCACGTCCTTTCTTAGTGCGCTTCTGCATGTAGTCCACGAACGCTTACTTTGGTATGCTGCGTAGGAAGTCGTTGCTTGCGCTTTGCCTGGGTAAAAGTTGCAATCATGTGTATTATTACCCTGTTGACGGTGAAGAAAAAAGAGCGTTCTTGGTCGAGTAAAAACTGCGTCCACCAACTTGCATTTACGAATGTCAGACGCTCGCTCATGACCGATCGGTGTCAAAATTTCTGCTTCTTATCGCTGCCTTCGCGTACATTGAAAAATAATGTGAGCCCCTCCAGCAAGCTCTTGCGTCTCTTAAAAATAAACAATAAACAATAATGAAGGAAAACAAAAGAATGAAAACAATAATGCTGACCAAGTATGCACTGCAATTTAGGAAATGATTTCTTTGCTTCGCGTTGTTCCAATCGCCCAGTACCTGCTCGGCCATACCTTTCTTTTTTCTGAAATAAATCTTGATGCTCAAAGAAGCTTCCTGTTTTTTTTTACTTGAAAAGTGAACATTTAATTATTTCCTTCTAAACTCATATGAGATTCATTGCATGGTGTTCTGCGAAAGAGTACATGTCGACTCTAACCTTCAGACTGACGCCATCTTCATCGATTTCGCAAAAGCATTTGACAAGGTTCCTTCTGAGCGCCTACTACTAAAGCTTGCCGCGTTGAATTTAAATAATGACGTATTAACATGGATTAAAGAATTCTTAACTAATCGTTCGCAATCAGTTTCCGTCAACAATCAAATGTTACTATCACTACCCCGGTAACCTAAGGTGTCCCTCAAGGGTCTGTCCTAGGCTCGCTTCTGTTTTTGATTTACATTAATGACCTACCATTACATGTATCTTCTAACATACGCATGTTTGCAGACGACTGCGTTATTTATCGTAAAATAAACAACGTTTCGGATAACACGTCTCTTCAAACTGACTTACTAAGCTTACAGGAATGGTGTAACCTTTGGCTGATGGAACTCAACCCTAACAAATGTAAAACTGTTTCCTTTCACCGCCGTCGAAATCCGATAGTATTCCCGTACCAAATTGCTGACACAAACCTCGAATTAGTTCCTTCCTATAAATATCTCGGAGTAACCCTTTGTAGCGATTTAACTTGGGCAACGCACATTACGAACATCATTGCATCTGCTAACAAAACACTCGGGTTCTTAAAACGCCATTGGCGTCACGCTCCTAATAATGTCAAATTACTAGCTTAACAATCTCTCGTAAAGAAGAAGATAGAATACGCATCAGCCATTTGGAGCCCGCATCAAGCGTATCTCATCAATCAACTCGAGTCACTCCAGCATATCAGCACTGAAAACAGAATCTGGCCTATCATTGCTTGCATCTCGTCGCCGCATTTCTAGTCTTTCCCTTTTTCACAAGTTGTTTTACAGCTCGCTCGGCAGGCCACCATACATTCTTCCTCCGGCACGCATCTCCCTTCGCACTGGTCACCCGCAACAAGTTGAGCGGCCGCGTACGCGCACCGTCACTTTTTCGTCCTGATTCTTTTTTGGTGCAGCTACGAACTGGAACGCCCTTTCTAACGAAATCACCGCCATAACCTGTCCTACCACCTTTTTGAACACCGTAACAAATTACCTTGCATTGTAAAAAAAATATGGCTTTCACGTTTTCATATATGTACCCACCCCTTATGTAATACCCCTTCAATGGGGTCTTTAAGGTAATAAAATGAAATGAAATGAAATGTTGGATGCGCTTGCAAAGCCAAAACCGAAATCTAACGAAAAAGGATCAGTTGGCGTGGTAACCAAGGTGCAGCAGCTAGGCCGACGTAGTTTTGACTGTGCTGCCACAGAAAGTTGTCGCCGAGTATAGTGTTTGCGAAGGACGCGCCAAGTATCGGTGAGGGGCGGGCTTAGTGGCTTTGCAAGGGGCGCCAGCACAATCGTAACACCTCACAGTGAATGATGATTGGGGCAAAGCTTGAAAAAGCATTATTGATAAACCGTGAAAATCCATCCGTCTATCTATATATAAGTCCGTCCGTCTGTGTGTTCGTCTTTTTGTCTGTCTGTCTGTCCATCCGTTTGTACGCCTGTTTCACCGCCTGGGCGTTTGTCTGTCTGTCTCTCTGTCCGTCTGTCTGTTTGTCCATCAGTCCATGTGTCTGTTTATCTGCCTTTCTGTGTGTT